AAAAAGAAAGTAAACATGGACGAATTGAGTAACTAACGTCCATTTAGCACAGGCTTCAAATTGACGAATGCAAAGGAAAGAGCTGATCGATAGAATATTGATTCAGCAGCAATCGGAAACTCAGCAAACATTAACGGAGAATCATCTGGAATAATTACCATAGAAATTTCTTGAAATACATTCCAATCTTAACTATATAGTAAAACTTTTTTTGATGTTGACAGAACCATTCAGCCAACAAACGATCTTAACAGACGCAAATTGTCGGGGTAATTTTCACATTGATTATAAACACAGATCCTTCAAGGAGGGGCTCTTTCGGAACATGCAACCTTTCGAAAAAAAACTTCTCATCCATTCAATGAATTCGTAAAGTTCGTAAAGGGACAGCTTCTATTGACGACCTATTCCTTTTGGTGATGGTGATGGATCAATGAGGACTGTTCATGATTCTACTTGTTTCATATTCCGTGTTCCAAATGTTCAATGGTGCACTTGCCCTGCGATTCGTGCGAATCGCGCGACGGATCGCGGACTATAAGTGTCGTTAGGGACATAACCTACCAACACCCTTACAAGGGAGGTCTTTCAGGGCAAGGTGCGCTTTTTCAAAACGGTTTTGTGCATATTGTAGGGACGCATGTAGGGAACGCAAAACCATGTTTCATTTTCGCTGAACGGTTATAGCAGTACCAAAAAAGAAGCATAAGGTACTGTTAAGGGTTCGATCCCCCGTGGCGACTAAATTTTGCATTTGGGTTGGCGCCTACGGTTTGGTGCCAAATCGCGCTAAATATCAAAATCAGATGTCAAATTCATCGTCAGGACCATTTTGAAGCCAACAAGTGGCCGCCAACCTTGATTGCAAAATTTAGTCGCCGCGGGGGATTGAACCATCAAGAGTATTATTCACCACTTTTTTGGTACTACTAAAACCGTTCAGCGAAAACGAAACATGGTTTTGTGGTCCATACATGCGTCCCTACAACATGCACTAAACCGTTTCCAAAAAGCGCACCTTGCCCTGAAAGACCTCCCTTGTTAGGGATGGGGTGAATGAAATGTTGCAAATAAGCTGAAAAGGAGCAGGAGATGTGTATGATGCGATACGAAGCACCGCCATGGAAGGAGATGCCCTAGAAACGACGCTACTAGGGGGCACCAAACGCTGGTCGATCCGCCGTGCTGCTTCCAGCCGCTCACCTGCTGATGTCTCATGTACGTAGTCATCTTCGCTAATCTACATTACATGCTCTTTCGTCTCGGAGAATTTCTTTCCTATCTCAGCGTCCACCATCTCTCATTTTGCTGTCTGTCGCTTATTCTCCTCCACACCGTTGAACAAAGATGTCGGTATTCTCTCGATCAGGGTGAATATTGCTTGAGGATTCCTCAACGGCACGTCGAGGATTTTCGCCTGATCCTTTACGTTCTCGCGCGCGGATATTCACTCTCGCCACCGCGAGCCGTCTGTGCTCTCCGCGCGTACATTCACTCTCGGCACTACTCTCGCACAGTAGAGAGCATGGTCGAGGAATTCCTCGACCGTTATTCACCCTGCTCTCGATGGTTCCCTCTTCTTTTTTCTTAATTGGTAATTTCAGTTCGCACCCCTACTTTCACTATCGAGCGCTTTTACCGCACCAATTTGATCCTGGGGGGAGTGCCTTTAAGGTATAAGCGCTAAATGAATTTCTGTGCTTTTTACGTCTGCCGAGCCCCAACAAAGCTCTCCCTAACCATGAGAACCCATCTCGCAAAAAAATAGATGCGCCACTTGTATTTCTGAAACCTCGAGTGATCCTTTCTTCCACCTCTTCTTCGGAAGCACACTTAAATATATAACCTGGACTTTCAAATGAAGAATACTCAAATCCAACCGTCATCTTCCTCATTAACGTGTAAGGTGTAGAGATCAGGTCGTCGGTGAGCAAAAACTGGTTGCATCTTGCGAAGTTCAGCGACATATGAAAGATCGATTTCAGCGAAGCACATATCTTAATTGGAGACCGTTTGTTCGAAAAAGATTATGAACCAAGTTGTTCCTTAGGACTAACCGACTCTCTCCGAGCACTGCGCTATCACAGCTCCCCAGGGGTCAACTACCATCGAGTGACCGTATGATGACCGCTTGTCGTTATGCTTTCCCGTCTGAGCAGCAGCGATCACATAACACTGTGTTTCGATGGCCCGAGTTCGGAGTAGGGGCTGTAAATTCATTGGCTGAGGGCACAGCAAAGATTAAAATTGACAGCCGAACTGTCACTAGTAAGGATTGGATGAAGAATGAGTCAGAGACGAACATAGGATAGAAACTCAAAATTCCATCTTTTTCAGTATCGGAGTTTTTTAATGTGTACTGGACGTCAGGACAGATACGAAGAAGCAAATTTGCGTCTCTTGACACTAATTTTTCGGTGCATTCTGATGCTCTTGGTTAGAGCCATTCCTCGATGGGATAGGCTTCGCGTGGCCACCATCGGAGTATTTCCAAAAGATATGGCCATCGGTGAATATGGGTCAATGAAAAAACGAAAACTGTGAAGCCACACTTCTACATATATTGTTCAGTCCAGCAGTATAGATTGAAGTAGAAGGATTCAGATGTTAGGTCAACTTCCACATTAACTAGGGATCACAAAAACTGGAGTCAGAATCCTCTACACCCCCATAATTCTCTATACCGAGTAAGCTTGAATAATGTGCTAGAGTCATCAAGACGAATCTCCATAATCCTTCTATTTTATAAAGCGCTAACTTTGTGTGTCGGTTTGTATGTCTGTATGTGTGTGTGTATGTATGTATGTATGTATGTATGTATGTATGTATGTATGTATGTATGTATGTATGTATGTATGTATGTATGTGTGTCCGTCCGCAAAATGAAGTGAGTGAGAAGGAAGCTCATGGGATAAACAAACCGCTAACAAATCGGGTAGCTTACAGGATTTGAGATATCAATGTTTTGTAGCAGGATAGTTGTGATAACACTCTTAGGGCTATATAAACACCTGCTTAGCACACTTCCGTTCATTCCACATGGTGCTGCAGTGGCAGCTGGAGGGCAGTGGAGAGAGGAAGGGAGGATGAGGAAGGGAAGCGAAAAATCTACCGTCATATCATGATTGTGTCCCTTCTACTGTATGAAACACCATTGTGTTGCATACGCGTCACTTCCAGGAGGTGTTGGTGTCACAGGAGGAAGGGACCATAGCGGAGGATAGAAAGCTTGCGCAGGAAAGGAAGGTCCCGGCGGTTGACGGGGGACTAATCTGGTATTAATAATAAAATACAGTGGCTCTTAAATTTGATCAATATGCTCTGTCACTGGTTCAACCACCTAGCAGGGTGAATATCGGGTCGGGATGAGGATTCCTCAACGGCACGTCGAGGATTCTCTGCCCGATCAGAGACGATCTCTCGCGCGGACATTCACACTCGCCATGGGCGTGCCGTCTGTGCTCTCCGCGCGGATGTTCACTCTCGGCACTACTCTCGCATGGTAGAGAGCTATGGTCGAGGAATCCTCGACCGTTATTCACCCTGCCACCTAGGGTACTTACTTGTTGAATACAAACACACAGGTAACTGAGATATGGGTGTGTCGCGGTTCGCGACTGTGGTCCCGGGCGCACCGCGCGCTTGGGCACTGCTGTGCAGCAGGCGCCGTGGCGTTGCATGCACCGACTATAGGGGCATGCTCCGCCTCCGGTCCCGCCTCCAGCCGGGACTACTTAAGCGAGCCGCCTCTGCCAGTCGGCGCACTTCGCTCCCTCCGGGAGGAGCGTTGTGCCGGGCAACGCGAGGAAGCTGGACGGCTCGGAGTGCCACTGGCACTCGGCAGTATGGTCCGGCATACTGTCCCGTCCTGTCGGAGCGCTGGCAAGCCAGCGTCCGCTACACCGGATGGACGCTGCCGGCTGCAGGCGCCAGCAGTGCGCCACTTACCGCCGACGACCCGATGGATGGACGACGCGATGGCTTGGTACCTCCAAGCCCGGCAGAAGATGAGAAGAGTAGGTCGTCAACTTGTTGCCGCCAATATCCGCCAATAAATGTGAGTATGTTTAATTGTAGTTGTTGTAGTAGGGTTGTAGTTTGGGGAGCGCCAGGGCAGGGGCCCGACTAAGGCGCAGTAGGTTTTTCATGTGCTGTTATGCGTGTGGGGTGGGGCCGGGGGCAGGGG